TTGTAATATGTTCCATATTAACTAATAAAGATTTACAGCGTATAAGCAATTTACAAACAAAAAAAAAAAAAAAAAAATTTAATATAGGTAAGCACAGCTTTCTGTTGATTCGAAAAGAAACCTTCTAGCAAGTTAGGGGCTGAAGGGAAGGTAAATCAGTAGCTAGACAGTTACACTTGGGCACCTTAGAGCAGCCAAGTGAAGCTTTATGCATGAATAGGAAGTGCAGTAGTTTGGAAACTATAATACCAGAATCTGGAATATATAAAAATATATAAACTATATAAGTTACTATATTACTATGTAATAACTATTCAGATATAATAAAGTCAGTGTTGGCACTGGACATATGTCTAACCATTTTTATGCTATTGGACTGGACTGGACATTGGATATAATACTTGAACATATGTCTAGTCTAATATGTCCAATAATTTTAAAAAATATAAAAAAATCTTTGGTGAAAATATAGCCTAACAAAAAGCTTTCCTTGGGTGATTTTATTATACATATTTCACTAATTTCTAGCCCTAATATAAATGCTAACCTTAAATTTAACAAACTTTTTATAAATATTACCTTCATCATGTAATCACGACTTCTTTCGGTGTGATAATGTGAAGATTTTTGATTGGCTATTTGTCACATGATTTGTATATTACACAATGTCCAATACTTTTTGGTCCAATGGATTGGACTAGACTGGACAAGGGTTGTCCAATGTCCATGTTCAATGTCCAGCCCAATCTTGAATAAAGTAGTTACTATTGAAAAAAAAAATAAAAAAAATAAATTAAATTTAATAAAATTTTTTTATCTAAATATATACATATATAGAATTAAAATAAAAATAAAATTATTTTAATGGCTATATTATAAAATATATATTTTAATTTAAAGTTTTATTTTAAAAAAATTTTTTTATTAACAAGCCCCCAACTATATATATAATCTACTATAGTTAATAAATATTGCTTATATAATAAAAACTATATATAAAATAATTAACTGTATACCTAATACATATATATATATATATATATATACAGTATAATATATATATATATACAAAAAAATAATTTTGAAACAGAAATACGTTATATCGATATATATATATATAATATTACGTAACAATAATATAATTTAATTGGCTTTAAAGCTTAAAAATTTATAATCAAATAAAATTAAATATTTTCCAAAAACGTAATCAAAATCATTGGATTAGAAAATCATTCTATAATCGGCACATGTTTATTCCTGAAAACGTGGAAAACAAATTTAGAATATAAAGTAAATAAATATATAATATTGAATCCCTACAAGAAAAAATCAGGAATAATCAAGATAAGTTAAGTACAACCTGAATCCGAGGGTTGATAGTGCATTTTTAAGGGAAATTTTATGATAGAAACAAAAAGATATAAATAGCATTTTCTTTGAGCATCTGAAACTTAAAAAATATCAAGCATTTTTAGACGATTAGTAAGATTAGTAAGATTATCAATAATTGGATAAATTTTTGAAAGCAACCAAAAGTATCAAAAAAAAAGACAAAAAGAGGCAAAAAAGAGACAAAAAAGAGAAAAAAGGAGCGAGAAGCAAGAAAAAAAAATAAAAATAAAAAAGTGACAATAACTTATAATATCATTATATATATATTTTACCAATAACGGACTACTTGATTTCCGTTGCATTTATTTTTCAATAAAAAAATATTTGGAAGAAATTCAGAAATTTTAAACTTTGAGAAGACATAATAGTAAAATTGATCAATTACATACGTCATGAAGCATTTCTTTGACATCCATTATAGGATTCATTCAAATGATTGTGTGGAGTAAGATTATAATTTTCGCGTTCCGCTCTTACCCACTCAACCGTAAATATATAAATGAGCAACCAAATGAGTTTCGATTGTCAATCTTCAGAAGCAAATTTTTTGCGTATTCAGATAAGGACGAATAATTTCATGCAGCGATTCACATATTGTCTGCTAAAATAACCTTAATGCTAATCCTTAAATCGATTACTTTTTCTAATAAACGCAAGTTAAGTTACTTAAAAAAAATGATGGACGTGGCGCAAACAGATGATATGCTTTTTTTATTGTAAGAGATTAGCCACATTTTCACGTGAAGATCCGAATAACATATGATATTTCGCGTGTTAATTTAATTCTGCCATAAATGTATTACAATAGACGGATGAATGAAAATTAGAAGCATTAATTATTACCTTTCACAATACTAATAAAGTATTTATAACGATAAAAAAATTATCTTAGATCCAAAAAATTCAGAGTTAGTTGGATTAAGTGATCTCGTCGTACGCACATACTCAATCAAATAAATCAATTATTACTTTTAAACTATTTGTCAATATAAAAAAAACGTGAAGTCTGGTGTGGCTTTGCGAAAGTGATAAAAGTCTGAATGAAAAGTATCCCTTAGATTCGGGTAAATAAAAGGTTGCACAGAGTTTTGACTTGTTGACCTGCTGACTTCACATGCCGAAAATATTCTAAGGTCAGCCCATGTTACCACATGTAAAAAAACAAATTTATACTTACTATTTGAAAAATATCTATTGTTGTTTTAAAAAATTGATAGTCAAGTATAACTCATATGAATATCGTGCACTCATTGCATAATGCAACCAAAACAATTACGCCGCCTCCCTTTCCAAAAATTTTCCTCTCTCATTTAGCACTCCTCGTTTATTTTTTTTTATTTTTTATTTTTTTTCTTAAAACTGAATTATCCACATTTACCTAAGAAAAGACATTCTCGAGAAAAAAAAATACAAATTATTCGCGTCAGTTGATTTATTTCCATCTTTTTCGTAAAATAATTCTTGTACTTTACAATTCTCTCGCCACTTATACTTTCCCAACTCTTCAAAAAAAGATTAAATAAAATAAAACTGTAGTATTTTTTTTGTTCATATAAACTTTGATAGTTTTTCTACATCGCCTTTTTATATATATTTTTATTTTCTTCCTTCCATTTCACAAACGTGTGTACAATATATAATGTATAATACTCAAGTCTTACCTCCGTTAAGTACTACTGTTGGTAACGGCGACTGTAAACCTAATGGTGATTCACCTGATATAAAACAAGAACAGCGTGATGGTACTTTTGAATCCAATGTCCCACCAACTCCTTCCCCTTCTTTGTCTCCTACTCTTACTCCAACCGACCTTCCAAGTAATCACTCAAGAATGTCTATAAATCAATTGTGTAACGATACTGACGATGAGGTAAAAGAGGCCGCTGCTGTTCTAGAAAATATGAAACAAGGTCTTCCACCAATTGGTAAGTTTTTTTTAATAAATATTAAGTAATATTTCTTATATATATATTATTATATATTATATATATATTATATATATATTTTATATATTTTTATATATTTTTTAATAGATTTTTTATATATATTTTTTTATATATTTTTTATATTTTTATATTTTTTATATATGCATTCAATCTTTTCATTAGAAATACCTCCTCATTCTACACAAATAGAAAACGATGGTTCAGGTCAAATGCCGACCTCACCTTCTGCTGAAACGGACAATACTTTAATGTCACGAATAGGAGGCGGTATAGGTCTTTTACGAAGAGGCATGAATTTCTATGAACAGGGCAACTACCCTTTCATGAAAATGGTCGGCAATCAAGTTTCTAAAATATCAAAACCTGTTATCGATAAACTTGAAGAAATGATGGATAATAGTAGTAATAATAACAATAATAATAGCAATTCTGCTGTTGTTTATTCCTCAACTGTAAATGGTGATATATCCTACAGTTCTAATGAGGATGTAATAACGAAGGATGATACTTCTGGTCAAAATGATTGTGAATCTCGTAAGAGAGGTGTTCATGGTGAATTAAGAAGTTCATCTCCTTCATATAGATCCCCATCTCGATCTCATCGTTCTTCTCAATCAAATGGCTCTCAAAATAGTTCTTATTCTCTTTACTCCACTTATCCTAATAACAATTATACTACATCTTCAAATTCTACTACTACTGTACAACGTAGTGGTTGGCAAAAGGTTCTTGTTGGTGCTGGTACCGCTGCCGGTGCTGCTGGTGCCGCTGTTAGTGAAGAATCTATGAAAAGTCTTAAATATTGTCTTCAATGGTTGACCGTACGTATTTTAATTTAATTTAATTTATTTTTTAATTTAATTTAATTTTAATTTAATTTTTTTTATTCTATATTTTTTTTTATTTATTAGTATGCTACGCAGCATATAGGTAATCAAATTGCTGCTTTAAGGAGCATTATTGACAGTTTTACCTCCCCTAGTTCAAGTGGTGCTCTTATATCTCAATCATCTTCAAAGCTTGCTTCAATTAAAAAAGAAGTTGTTGATACTCTTCGTAAAGTCATCGAAGTTGTTTCTAAATATGCCAGCAAGTGTCTTCCTGAACATGCAAGACACAACGTTAGAAGTTTTATCTTAAGCTTACCTTCAAGATGGGCTTCTATTAATCATTCTGATCACTCTTCATCTGTTTCTCCCGCTAATTCTCCTCGTTTGGCTCCTTCAAACGTTCATCATATCAATCAAACTACTGATTACGCTCGTCGTCTATTAAGTTTAGCAAATGAATCTCTTGATATGCTTCGTAGTGTTGCTGGTATATTTGGTGAAACTGTAGGCCGTGCTGAAGCTTGGGTTGAACGTTTAAGTTCTTTTGGTGTAACTGGTGGAGGTGCAAATGCTATGGGTCCAATTCATTTTGATAATATACCTACTCCAAATGGTAACGGCTACGTTTACAGTCCACCTACTCGTTCGCGTAGATCTTCCAATAATTCTACCCATAAGACTCGAAAGTATCGTCCTACTCATCCTCTTGTAGATGATGATGATGATGATTTAACTGATTCTTCTTCTGAATCTGATGCTGAGAATATGCGTATGGAAATGGATGGTCGTCGTGTAAAATCTCAAAATTCTTCAAAAACTACTTCTCATTCTAACGGTTCATTAAATGGTGTTAAGAAAAGAAAGAAAGCTGAAAAAAAAGAAAATGATAGAATGGATTTGGATCTTCTTAATTAGTTTTTTAATTAGTTTATTTTTGGTTTTTCATTGTTGTATAACACAAAAAATGGTCATTCTGCATTATTAGTTTTCTCTTCTTTTTTTATATATATGTTTATCTTTGTTATGTTAACATTAATGTTAAGAATTATAAAACCATGTTATTATATAATTATCATATATGAACCGAGCTAATTTATGTGCATACGTATGCACCTACGTACGTATTTTTTGCCACTATTGAGAATAGCTAGAAAAAGGTATGTATCAAAAGTAGTACTGTACGGGTAGTATGGATTTTGACAAATTTACGGAATTAATAAATTCTGTTAGTACATACGTTTTAAAAAATTAATTTTTTTATTCTATCATGTATTGAATTTATTATCAAATAATATTTTTTTTGCAAATAATTTTGAGAAGCATGAATATAAATAAATTATTTAACTTTATTAAAATAGTTTTTTTTTTTTTTTTTTTTTTTTTTTTACAAAATTAAGTTATTGTACGTATTTAGGTTTATTTGTTTTTAAATTATATATATATTTGATATTTAAATCAAGTTTAAATTATGATTTTGTAATTTAATAAAAAAATTTTTTTTTTTTTGATATTAGGCCACACAAACTTATACTATTGGTTCTCATAACCCGGCCGGGTCAAATTCAACAAAAGTTTGAAAAAAATTT